CAAAAATTTAAATGCAACATTAATCGCCATCTTCTATTTTCTTGAATCCTGTTCATCTTTTGTCCTTTCATCAATCCTCTCTATTCTCAGTCTTCACTTTCAACCCCTTATACTAGTGGCATTCCCTTTCATCTTTTGTCCTTTCCTCAATCCCCCCTATTCTCACTCTTCTCTTTCATTTTTCCCCTTTAAACCCCCCTGTGGCATTCCCTTTCATCTTTTGTCCTTTCATCTTTTGTCCTTTCATTTTCAATCCACCTCCATTCCTTTCCTCTTTCTTTCCTCAATCCTCCCTATTCTCAGTCTTCTCTTTCATTTTCACCCCTGTAACCCCCCTGCGTAACCCCCTTTCCTCTTTTTGTCCTTTCTCAATCCTAGTCTCAGTCTTCTCATTTTCACCCCTTTCATCTTTTGTCTTTTGTCTTTCCTCAATCCTCCCTATTCTCAGTCTTCTCTTTTTATTCTCTCCCTTAACCCCTGTAAACTCCCTTACTTTGCTTGGGGTAAAATGATTAAAAAAAACTAAAAGTTTGTTTTTGCATTCCAGCTCCTTTTCTCCACCCACAAACTGAGCTAGTATAAGGATAAAGTAAATTTATTTCTCCTCAAATTCGCAATGGTTTTATTTTTCTATATTTAGTGCTCCAGTCTTAATCTCTTATGGTTTAATGCACCCCTTATTTATAACTATTTATACCCCCTAATATTTTTAAATATAGTGGCATTCCTGTTTCATCTTTTTATTTTCTTCTATCCCATTTCATTTTCCTCAATTTTCCTCCCTATTCCTAGTTTCTTTTCTTCCTTTTAAATATTCTCCTTTTTGTAGCTCTTAATAAATTTTCCTTTAATAACCACCTCCATTTACTCGTGGCATTTTTTTACCCTTTGTCTTGAGTATCAAATTTCCAAGGGGTAAAATGATTTAAAAAAAAACAAAAGTTTGTTTTTTGATACAGAGCATTTGAAGTATAATGTTTGAATCTGGCGGGACCATATTCTAGTTTTCTCCACAGCCTTAATAAATTTTGTCTTTTTTAGCTAGTATAAGGATAAAGTCTTTTTTGGGATGTATTTATTTCTCCTCAAATTCTTTTTTTTGTTAATGGTTTTATTTTTTCTATATTTAACTTGCTTCCACTAAAACCACGGCCATACTACTAGTCTTAATATGTTTTATAAATAACTTGGCCTTATCCATCCAAAAAATATCATGATAAAATCAGTCAAAATAAAATTATTTATAACTATTTATTATCTGTTTCCTTAAACTCACTCAAACAGGTTGTGTATTGTTTTGTCTCTCCAAGCATAATATTTTAAATAATTTTTTTTTTAAATTTTCATATTTATTTTTGGCACATGAATTCTTCTGAAACATTTCCGTCTAAAAAGATCTTATATAGGAGGGCTATGTTATTTTCTTCTATCCCATTTCATTCTGTCCTATGAGGACTGATATTATAAATTTTCAGCTCTCTTTTCTTTGTTTCTCTTTCCTCATTATATGTCCAACTTCACTGCCATATAGGAAACTTCCAACATAACAGTTCAGCTTTCTTCCTGATGTTAAATAATCTTCTTCATCTGTGAAGTGTCCTTTTGTGTAGGATCTGATAACATAACAATTTTTTTCTTTGTTTCTTTTAATTATCTCTTCATCTTTGCTCCACCATCCATTTACTCCAATATAGGAGGACTGTTCATTAATTCTTTTTTTTAAGTCTCTCAATCTGTCATTGTCCAGATTCATCAAATTTTCCAGTTCAGCTCTCTTTTCTTCTTTCTGTTGTGTCCCTTCATCTGAAACCACAACTGTCTCTTGACTGATGTTATGTAAAAGTTCAGTCCATTTTTTTTCTCAGTGATAGTCCATTAGCACATTCAGTGGTAGACCTGAAGAAATGGGAACCATATTGTTTTTCTGAAAGGAGAGCATTTGATATTATATAACAGTTCAGTATAATGTTTTCTTCATCTGTGAAGAGATTGTCGTTGATTAGAGTTCACTCCTTTGTTTCTGTTGTTTCATATTCTATGCCCTTTCAGGATATAGATGTGATCATGGCCTCTCCATTTCCTGGTCTTTTGTGACTGATATTACTTAATAAATTTTGTTTTTTCTGTTAATCTCTTTTCCATCTGTGAACATTGTCCAACTATCCATTTTATAACAGTTCATTCATCTTCTCTTGTGTTATTTCTTTTTCTGTGAGGATGTCCAATTCACTTTATGGCTCTCCACAATTTCTGTCTTTTTCTTCATAATTTTTTTTTTTATTTTCTCTTTTTTCAAGTGTTCTAGTTTCTAGCATTCACTGCCCAATAATGACTGATTTGTTAACAGTTGCTCTCTTTCTTCGTTTCTCTTCTTCACTAGAGCAGCACGGCCATCATATAGGGACTGACTTACATAACAGTTCACACCTCATCAGTTCAAGTGCCCATGTTTTATAACACTGCCATATAACTTCAGATCTTTGAACCAAATCTCTTCTCCAACTTGACATTGCCTAATGAGTCCATCCAAAATAATTAGGTTTTCCTAAGTTTATACATACATAAATTTCATGTCAAACTAAATAAAATATCATTGTTGTGTTTTTATCAATATTATAATTCACAAAGCATTATCCATCAAAACCCTGAAGCTGACCCATTATCTGTTTCCTTTCTATGTCACCAAACAGGTTATTATTTTTCCTTTTCGAAGGCTTTTGCTTTCAGATTTTGCAATTTTTTATGGAAAAAAAGATTTTTTGTTATTTTTTTTGGGTTTGTGATAGAGATATTTCAACATTCTTTTTTTACTTTTTTCTGTTAACTTATAAGTTTTTATTTTACTTCCCTTTTATATCCATTTTTTTAAAAACAAACTTGTCATTTGTTTAGACCATTGGAATTTAATCAAAATTCTTCTTCTCTAAGAATCATTCTTCAGAATCACCAAAGATCATTTCTGTTTCATTCTGCAGTTCTTTACACTTTCAGACTTTGTCCTCATCATCATTGTCTGTGAAAAGTTGTTCAGGTTCTTTGCCTGAACCCTATATTAGGACTGATATTGTTCTAGCTCCACCTGTTTCAGCTCTCAGTTTTCTTTTTAACTTTCTTTTGTTCACTGCTCAAGTCTCTTTTTATCCCATGGGCCATCATCTGTTTCAGTTAGAAAGAAATTCCAGTCAAAGAATTCACTGCCAAAACATTCTGGTACAGGAAGACTGGACAATAGTTACAATGTTTCTATATTGTAAATAATTACATAACAGTTCAGACAAATAGGACCCTGGTGAAATACAAACCTGGGAGTTTCTTTGTTTCTGTTGGTGGTATTCATTTAAAATACAAATGTCTCTTCTTCATAATGGATCATATGCAATGTAGATTGAACCAACAAGAAAAACTGAAAATAAATACAATGTATCTAAATACAAATTAGTAGGACTGATAATTAATTCATAACAGTTTTGCAGCAATTTTAACATTTGAGATTTCTTGTTGAAATGTTGAATAATTTTAACACAAAAATATAGTCTCTTTATATATATATATATATATATATTTATAATATATATATTTTTTTAATTGATTTAAAAAATATGTTTTTTTATTTACACAGTTCTAACCATGTTTCAAAAATGGAAGCTAAAAGCCCCGAATTTAATTTTGTGATTAACTCAAAGACATTAGTTCCATTTCATCCTCAAGCGAATTTTGGAGAAACACCGGATTATATATCTTGCTGTAACAAGAGTAACACTGGATTATATATCTTGCTGTAACAAGAGTAACACTGGATTATATATCTTGCTGTTCTTTCTTTTTATTTATATATATGTTGTTGAAAAGAAAAAACTGTCAACTTATAGTAGCAACTGCAATAGATTTCTTCTGTTTCTCGACTGCAACACTTGTAGGCAAATCATAGTTCAGACGATAGTCTGTCGTAACAGTCTAACAAGCAAAGTAGAAACAACAAAATGGGGTCACACGTCCAACCTTCACTTCTCACGAGCAAAAATGCGTGTTCAGCCGCCAGCTTAGAAAATCTTCTGCCTTTATAAGCGAAAAACAACGGCTTTGGTTCATTGAGAGATTTTTCTGATTGGTCACAGCATTCAGGGAAGGGGAGAACATTAGCGTAGATTCTAGTCATTGAAGTAGATTTTTGCTAACTACTTTTTGGTCATTTTTCTTCAGCAAATTGCACACAGAACACAAACTTTTTTTTCGGGGTAAATGATTATCTCTTTCACTACAGTATATTTTCAAGACTTAGCATGAATAAAACAAATTCACGGATTTGGACGAAAAAAAAGAATGACGTCAAAATATGCAAAAATTTTTTAATTTTTTTTTGTTTTGGTCAGTTTAATTTTTAACATATATAAATATAGATAGCAAAAAGCAAATGTTGATAACATAGAGAAGGTCACAAAGCACTGCCTGGGGCCTATAATTTGATTTGCAGGGTCAAAGGGTTTGGGGATAATATGCACTGGCCCTGCTTGGAGAATTCATTCACTTGAAGCCACTGTTAATCACTGATCTGGGAAAACAGTTACATGTAGATAATAATTTAAACTTGGAACAAGTTGGATAAGCAAGTATAAATATCCAGTATTTACCCTGGAAAATAGACTCATACTGAAGTTACTATTTGTCATTAATAATCAGTACTAACGACAATTGTTGAACATGATAGTCAGCATGTACTCCAAAAGAGATAGTATACGACTAATTAAAAATACAATGTAGATGGCGTCTTTGGTGATGTTTAGATGAATGAATTAATTTCCTGGGTGGAGAGGAACCAGAAGTGGTACAAAGGACAGGAACTTCTAATTTTATTATTTCAAATATATGCCCTTCCAAAGCCGTGCCTTTGTAGGCAAAAGTTAATTGGCTCTCAAATAATTAACATTGTTAATTAAATCAGGACATGAAACCGTTTCTGCTGGCCAACATTTATCAATATTTTTTAATTGGTATATAAATGAATGATTATTTTGTTTTCCTTCCTCTCTGTTCAGGAAACCTATTCTCAATTTGTTCTCCTCTTTCTCCGTTTGGTTCCTTTCAAGTGGACGCTCTTTCCTACTAGTATTTATTTTCCTTTTAGTATTTACTGCTTTCAGTCCTTTCCCTTTATTGCTTCTTGCCGCACTTGTCCACTAATATTTTTTGCACTCTCTCAGTCTTTCTCTTTAGATCAAAATCTGCCCGTTTCTGTTTTCCTTTATTATTTTATACACCCCCACCTTATTCTCTCTGTTACACTTTTGTCACTTTTCTTTATTTACACCCACAGTACTATTGTTATCTAACCTGCCACATTATTTCTTCTTACACATCCTACACTTCTCTTTATATGCACCCTCAATGCTGCTGTTTAATACCCATACCATATTCCCTCATTCAGCTTCTTCCTATTTAAACCCTCATTACTGTTGTTGTTTTACATATACCATCTTATTCCCTCTGTCTGCTTCTCTTTATTTACACCCTCAGTAGTATTTTTTACACCACCTTATATCCTTTTTTCACTTTCTCCAATTCTTGTCATTTACACCTTCATTACTGTAAGTTTACACCCATACCTTATTCCCTCTTTTCTCTTCCTCCACTTCTTTTTATTAACATCCTCATTTCTGTTGTTTTACACCCTCCACCTTATTCCATCTTTATTTACACCTCCATTACTATGTTTTACACCCTCCACCATATTTAATCTTTTCTTCCACTTCTTTCTATTAACACCCTCAATTCTGTTGTTTTACACCCTCCGCCTTATTCCATCTTTATTTACACCTTCATTACTGTTTTGCACCCTCCACCATATTCAATCTTTCCTCTTCCGCCATTTCTCTTTATTAACACCCTCATTTCTGTTGTTTTACACCCTCCACCATATTCCATCTTTACACTTCTTTATTTACACCTCCATTACTCTTTGTTTTACACCCATACCTTATTCCCTCTTCCACTTTTGTCATGTCTTCACACTCTCACTACTATTGTTTTACACCCTCCACCTTACTCGCTTTTACATTATCTATTTTTCTTTCAGTATACCTTTATAGCTGGTTTTATCTTCAGTCTTTTAATTTACACCCACCTTAATATTGTTTTACACTAACCACCTCATTCCCCCTTTCAGCTTTCTCTACTTCTTTTTACTTGTTTAGAACCTCACTATTACCTTCTTACACTCTCCATTTTTACCCTCTCTTTCTACTTATTTACATTCTCACTACTATTATCTTTCATCTTTCTTCCCCATTTTATACTCTCCCTCTCTTCCTAGTCTTCATTTGTTATGGATATTGATTGAGGAAAGACTTTTGGCCTTACTTCCACTGCATCAGCGTGTGAGCAGAAATTGGAACTGGTGATAGCATAAACAAGAAATGCATCCAGTGGCTAAAATAAACAGAATGTACTGGTGTCCCAAGCCTTGAATAAACAGGACACACAGATGTCCTGAGCGGAAGGAAATGCATGCTTGTGTGTGCTTATGCTGAGAGAGGTGTCGCTACACAAAGTTGCGTAGGTGTCATACTGGAAGCAGTCATGACCACATGAAGTTGTGTAGGTGTCCAAATGTTATATAACTGGTCCGATTCTTGATCTGGACAGACAAGCTGGCTAGAGGTTCACTGAAGATTTGTCTCTGACAATTCTTGTGTGCAAAATCCTAAACTCTTTGATTCTTCCATTCTCTACCCATTCCCCCCAACTCAAACAATAAAGATATTTATATATTGTTATATATGTGTTTGCTGCCTTATTTGAGCCCAGTTGCAATATATTACTCATTCAGGGAGCTTTTCTTCCAAGAACGACTACTTTGCAAAAAAGGCACCCATGTGGAGGATTCTTGGAACATTCAGTCAGTCAGTTATGTTCCATGCATGATACACACATAAGTGATCATGTATTTTTTGATACATGACTGACGAGGCAGATTTTTTTCCCCTCAGTAGGTTGCCATTTCTTTTTGCAGTAGACCATTTGCCATCCAAGGCTATAGAACCTGTTCTGTCCTGCTATTTACCAATTGCTGGGGGAGAAGAAGAGGATTCATCCCTTTCCCAAGGGGATTAGCACGTGGAATTCGAACTTGGCTCTCTGATTCCTCAATCTGAGCTGCTATCCATTACTCCACCACGATGCCTCCTAATTTGTAAATATAGCATACCTTAAATCTATATTTTTCCCAATGGTATTAGCACGTAAGTGAATGTAATGGATTCGAGTGGAATTCGAACTCGGCTCTCCGATTCCTCAATCCAAGCCGCTATCCATTCAGTTAGTTATGTGCCATGCGTGATACACGCTTAGTTGCCATCCAAGGCTATAGAACCTGGTCTGTCCTGCTATTTAGCCATAGCTGGGGGAGAAGAAGAGGATTCATACCTTTCCCAAGGGTATTAGCATATAAGTGAATGTAATGGTTTCGACTAGAACTCAAACTCGGCTCTCCACTTCCTCAATCTGAGCCAGTATCCATTACTCCACTGTGCCTTGGAACATTACAAACTTTTAATACTTTGTTTAATTTCTAATGGTCATCCATTGCTATTCTCAGGTGCCTTAAGATTTTTTTATGCTACTGTTCACCCAATACAAGCCTCATGAACCACTCAAGACAGAGCTTTACTGAATGAGGTTCTTTTAAGGGTGTACAAGGGGACAGATTATGGAGACACATCAGATACATGATGGTTGACACTAGGATTGAAAAACTTAACATTGTAGTGATCAGAGGAGCATTCTATTGGGAGTCTGTTCCAAAATGTAACAGTTCCAGGAAAGATGCTGTGAGCTAAACTTCCTCCTTACCAATGGAATACAAAGGGAATGAAAATGACTTGATTCTGTGTATGTGGTACGGCAGTTCTTAGCTCAGAAAGTCAAGGATCTATTATCTATTCTCCTTATTCATTTTTATAATCATTTCACCACCAAGCAAGGTGATAATGCCACTAGCACACAGGGGATTACAGGGAGTGAAAGTGAAAAAGAAGACTGAGAATAGGGAGGATTGAGGAAAGGACAAAAAGATGAACGGATTCAAGAAAACAGAAGATGGTGATCGATATTGCATTTAAATCTTTGAAGATTTTAGTTGCCAGGGAAGCAAGGAAATGGAAGAAGGTTCCACAGGTGGGAAGTGTGAGAAAAGAAACTGTTGGAGGAGAAGTGGTGGTTGCATTTTCAAAGGAAAAAGGGTGGGACCTAGATGCCAATCTAGTAGCACATTTAAATTCATGTAGTTGGGGTACCAGGAAAAAAAAGCTCTTCAGAGGAGTTGCCATGAAAATATTTGTAGAAAAGATAGAGGGAAGCCACATCATGTCGGTGAGAAAGTAAATGAAGTAAAGATGCCTGTTCAGGATTAATTACACTACAGATCTTTCTTTGGATTTTGTCAAGAATCTCAAGATGTAAAGCAGGAGCACAAGACCAGATATGGCAATGGTATGCAACACACGGAGAATGGTAGATTTGTAAATGTGCAAGATGGACTCAGACAAGAACAATTTTCTTGCATGACACAGTGGCCCAAATTTCCTTGCAGTAGAGGCAGCTATTGATTCGATGTAGTCCCTCGACTTAAGGTCAGTGGAAAACGTATGGCCAAGAAAGCGTAACGTTCTTCACTTCCTACCACCTCTACTTGCATTCATATCATATAACTCATTCATTGTAACAATTTTAGCAGTAACCCTCTACCTTGAGTAGCTCTCGTGCCTTAATGTATAAAAAATCTCTTAAATGTTCCATTTTATGCCTCCCAAATATTCTTTAACCTCCATGAATGTTCACTTTTTTTTTATTATTGCAGTTCATAGACATTCATGAGATGCAAACCTCCATTTTAATTCCACATTCTTTCTCTCTATATTATACATTACCAATCTCTCTGTTGTCTTGTTTTCACTTCCACATCCTACACTCTTTCTATCTGCCACTGACTCTCACTTGAAGCTTTCCTAAAACCCTATTTCACTCTCCGTTTAGTCATTTAGATGCTCTGAAGTCCTCCAAAACCTTACATGTCCCAACATCACTAGTAGAAAACCCTGCTCCTTTATTTCCTTGCAGCAACCCTTCAAGGCATTCATCTTCAAAATAACCCTCTACCTTGAGTAGCTCTCGTGCCTTAATGTATAAAAATGGTCTTAAATGTTCCAATTTATGCCTCCCAAATATTCTTTATCCTCCATGAATGTTCACTTTTGTTTTTATTATTGCAGTTCATAGGCATTCATGAGATGCAAACCTCCATTTTAATTCCACATTCTTTCTCTCCTTATTATTGTTATGGTCCGGTTCCTTGTGCCACGGTGATAGTCCAAGGTAGAACCAATAAAGAAGAACTCGAACACAGGTATGGAATAACACAGATATATTACAAACAGGAATATATACAGAGAAGTAGAAAGTGTTAGTACGTACAGTCAGGTGTAGTAGAGAGAACAATGTAGTCTCGACCAGTATCACTATTCCAATGTCTTGCAGTAATTGTCTGAACGCGACTCTGTTTTGGACTGCCTCTGACTTGACTCTTGACTCGACTTGAACTACTGATGATATTCATCACCCACTCCACACTGGGGCAGCATGTGACACAAGGTCGGTTATTTATTGTGGGTTCTCCGAGCACGTGGGCTTGGCCCAAATATATGCCCATTGAACCCGTAAAAACGGGCTCATGGCCGGTTTAACTTCCCGAGCGAGACTCCGCCCCTCGGCGTAGCCTCGTTCGGGTTCCTCCCTGCCCGAAGGCAGAGAGTTCAACCGAACAGTCGGTTCAGAAGTGAACTACTGATGATATTCAGTCACCACCCCCCACAAGGGCGTCATGTGGCACAAGGCCTTTTTAACATAGGATCTCCAAGCCTGTGGGCTCAGCCAAAAATATGCCCATTGAACCCGTATAAACGGGTTCAGGGTCGGATTACCTCCCTGAAAGAGACTCTGCCCTTTGGCGTAGCCTCCTTCGGGTTCCTCCCCGCCCGAAGGCAGAGAGTTCAACCGATCAGCCGGTCGACTGAGATCGACTTGAATGACTGACTCCTTGTCTACTCCTGAGGTGCAGTATTTATTAAGTATGGAATAGTCCATTATTATTATTATGGGTAAGATCCCATAACAATTATACGTTACCAATCTCTCTGCTGCCTCGTTTTCACTTCCACATCCTACACTCTTTCTATCTGCCACTGACTCACTCAAAGCTTTCCTGACACCCTATTTCACTCTCCCCTTTAGTCATTTAGATGCCCTGAACTTGACTCTAACCCTTCAACACCTTACTAGTCCCAACATCACCACTAAAAAAAACCCTGCTCCTTTATTTCCTTGCAGAAACCCTTGAAGGCATTCATCTTCAAAATAACCCCCTACCTTGAGTAGCTCTCGAGCCTTAATATAAAAAAGCTAATATCTTAAATGTTTCAAATTATACCTTGCAAATATTCTCTTTCCTTCATGAATGTTGACTATTTTTTTCATTTTTGCTGTTTGCAGGCATTCATTAGCTTCAATCTCCCTATTTTCATCCTACGTTCTTTCTCTTCCCATCAAATATTATTAATCTCTCTGCTGTCTCTCTCCCTCTCACTCAAAGCTTTCCTCATCGCTATTTCACTCCCACTTTGGGCATTTACATGCCCTGAATTTGCCTCCAACCCCTTAGTGGTCCCAATATCGCCACTAGGAAACCCTATTCCTTTATTTTTTTGCGGCAACCTTTCAAAATGTTCATCTTCAAAGAGACTCTCACTGTTAGTCAAGGAAATCATTTTTTCACATTGGAAACTCATTAATTAATTAATTAATTAAAATTTGCAAATCAATTCATCAAATACTCAATTAATTGCTCGCCAGAACATCAATAATTATCAATATTGATCCAAAACTATGCACTTACTCTTCACATTCTCAAACACAGATATATATATATATATATATATATATATATATATATATATATATATACACACACACACACATATATATATGTATATATATATATAGATAGATAGACAATGAACTGACATACACACATACATAGAAGAGATAGATAGATAGATGAATTGACATAGATCATGAACTAAGATAGACATATAGATAATGAACTGACATACACACATACATACATAGAAGAGATAGATAGATAGATAGATAGATAGATAGATAGATAGATAGATAGATAGATAGATAGATAGATGAATTGACATAGATAATGAACTAAGATAGACAGATAGATAATGAACTGGCATAGACAGATAGATAGAAAGAAAATAATATATATATATATATATATATATATATATATATATATATATATATATACTAATAGTAATACTCATTTGAAAAGAACCTTGGATAGGTCAACTTGTAGATATGTCAAAACAAATCAGTAACCAAGGAAAAAATTGGAAATAATAAAAAAGAAAGAACTAAAAACATCCGAACAGGGTGAAATAAATCGTCCAGTGCCTTAAGTTTTTAGTCCAAAGAAAAAAAATCCCAAGCGAGTAGTAAGACTAAAATGTAGAGTGTTCAATACGCTAAGTAGAGACGAAATAACTAAAATTATCCTAAAGAGCCAGGAACAACCTACCTTGCAGCTTACCCTGAAGATCCATTTAGATGAAACCTAGGTAGGTTTTCCCTGCTCTAGGATTTATTTTAGTTTATATAAATTATATAATATATTTATATATATATATATATATATATATATATATATATATATATATATATATATATCTTATTATTAAAAGCATAGATGCATGTCCGTACACCCGATGAGGTACGCAGACACACATACACACTCGCTCATCCGCCAGGGCTCATACAGATATAAACATATGCGGATAGTATGGGATTTGACATATGCGTTAGCATGAGTGACATCATGATGTCGATCCCCCCCCACTCCCATAATAACACCAATACACACAATCTACATAAACCCAAATTTTTAAAAAGATTAATCAGTTTGTCTGATGATCACAAAAGTGTGAAACCCAGGGTCACAAACTCACTTCAATCCAACCAAATATATATATATATATATATATATATTTTGTATCTAAGCAGCAATCCTTCATTTATGCATGTTTCATAAAAACAACAGACAAGATACTATGATTAAGCATTTTATTTAATTTTTCTTGTGTTCGAGATACAGAGTGTGTAGAAATTGTCCAAATGTTCTATAATTCTGAGCATTGTCGGCTATACTTTTAGCCATTATCAAGAAGGATTTTATTTTTGCTTTTTAAGTGGGCATATGGGTTGTTTGTATCTATCTAGATTTATAGCGATGTTTTATTTTCCGAACACAGTCAGCACATTGTGGCCATGTTCGTAGTTAATATTATTGAGTGTTAGCCTTTTCTTTTCTATTATTAAGGCTTCCATAATTTTTAATCTTTTTTTTTTACATGTGGATGAGATTATTATGTTTGTATTTTCTACTAGCATGTTTCAGATAGAGTCTGGTAATTTTGTGGGTGTCTAAATGGCTCCTAATGGAGTAGTGGTCAGAAATGATATATATATATATATATATAATGAAGTGTACTAAGTCCAATAATTATCTTAATATAATTATTGTTTATACATTCTTTTTATAGATACAAATATTTAAGTAAATTCTCTGTTTATAATAATAATATAAATATACAGGCCTGAATATCCGAGAAATTTTCATATAAAATATTCGTCCTCCGACAGAAATCAAAACTGTATCTGATGCAGAACCGTCATATAGCTTGACGTGCTATGCCATTTAGCTGCAGAAGAAGCGTCTGGTTAGCAAGGTCAAATTACTGTTCATGAGGTAGAGGGTTACAGAGTAAGAGGTAGTTTATCTTTAATCCTAGACTTGAACAGGTTAAAATTGTTGTGGTTGTGGAAACATCATCTAGGGAATTGGTTCCATAGAGCAGTAATTCATGGGAAGAAGCTGTTTGAGTGGAACTTACTTTTCACCAATGAAATATTGTGGGAACATGGGTAGTTTGCTACCATGTGAATAGCATTGTGAGCTCTGGCTGTGAAGGTTAGACCAGGTGGAACCAAGGAATTTAGTTTGTCTGAGCACTTTGCATGGAAGGAGTGATAGAGCACCACATCATGTCTGTGAAAGGCAGATTGGAGGGTGGAAAATAATTTGTTATCCATATATCCTGCCCAGTTATATTAACAGTACCCCATTTTAGGCATGATCTGGCTCTTGTAAAGGTAAAGGGTAACACAAGGAATCAAGTAGTTACTGAAGCGGTACAGGGAACTGACTATTTTTCCTGCACCTTTAATAATGGATTGTATGCATGAGTTCCACTTAAGGTCAAGGGCAAGTTTGAAAGGCCTTCTTTACTGGACTGACATTTTTTCAACACCCATTTGTTGAAAAGATCACAGCACAACAAAGGCCTTTCAAAAAGATATTAGAGTTTAGGAAGTGAGTCAGACAAAAAATTTCAGCATTCATTTATATGAGATTAGTGTCCCATCTACAGGTTAAATAGATTCTTCTATAGAAAAGCAAGTTGGTCATCTGCTTAGCAAAGACAGTCAGACTCACTGACAGTAAATAATAACCTGACATAGAATGCAGGAAGCTGATTGGGATAAGAGGCCATATTCCTGCTGTGGACTGCTGACACTATGTTATCAAGTGATGTTTATACTTGAAAGTAAGATAGAAAGTATCTTGTACCTATATAGGCTCTCTTCTTCCAGAATCCATGCTCCTTCAGGATGTTAGTGATCATGGCTCTTATGGTTTCTTCTCCTTCGTAGTTCTTAGTAAAGTTTGTCTTTTCCTCTTTCCTAATCCCTATTCTGCCAACACAAATTCATTCTTCTATGTGCCGTGTCCCTTTAGGATGTGAATGATCATGGCTCTCCACAACTTCCTGCCCTTTGAAGCTCTTAGTAAAATGTCTTCTTACTCTCTCTCCTAATCCATATTCTGCCAACACAAGCTCATTCTTCTATGTGCTGTGTCCCTTTAGGATGTGGACAATCATAGCTCTCCACAACTTCCTGGCCTTTGTAGCTTAGTAAAATGTCTTCTTGCTCTCTCTCCTAATCCATATTCTGCCAACCATTTGCACAAGCTTGTTGGGTAGGCCATGTGCCATTTTCTTCTCTTTCTCTTGCTTTCAATATGTCATATGAGTGTCAAATTTTCCAAACCCTCTTTCCTTATTATGTGCCTTAGAAATTCCTTCTGTCTCTTTCTGATATTAAAACTAAGTTTTCTTTTTTGTTTCCATTTTCTGTAAAACTTTGCAATTACTCACTTGCTCAGTATATGTCTATATATCTGAGATGAGGTATTATGTACACTATTTATATTATTCGGACTATTGTCCTCATCTTTGTCACCATATTTATTACATTTTGGCTGTTTTTACGCTCCGGCCTTCTTCAGGTTGTTGGAATGTTGAACTGAACTCTTTATTTCGCTCACTGGTGGAGACTGTTCTAATTCCATGTGCCATGTTTAATGGCTGTCAGTTATTAGTTATCTCCTGTTAATTCCCCTCTCCAAGGTCTCCACACGGGTATTGAACTCACACCTCTTTGGGTCCTGTCATTGTATCTAACTAATGCCTTTATCCACTGTGCCATGTGTCCTTGAGGAATTAACAGGAGATAACTGATAACTGACATCCATTAAACATGGCACGTGGAACTAGAACAGTCTACCCCAGTGAGCGAAATAAAGGCTTCAGTTTGACATTCCAACCACCTGAAGAAGGCCGGAGTGTACAATGGCCAAAACATTGTAATAAATATGGCAACAAAGATGAGGACAATAGTCAGAATAATGTAAATAGTGCACTTGCTCAGTCTATGGTATTCTCAACATCCTTCTGTAACCTCATTTCTATTCTTTCAAGTCTTTTCTTCATCTGTGAGGAGACTTCCAGCATTAAATGCCATATAGAAGAACTGATATTGCATAAAAAAACTCAACAATTTTGCTTTTTTAGAAAAAAAAAAGGAACAGCTCAATAAATTACTTAATTTTTGAAAGCAAATTTCACTGTTATTAACCATCTGTTAAAACACTTCCTGATATTTAAATTTTTACACTGAAAGATTTTGCTATCTCCAATTTGTAATTTGCAACGTTGAGCTGTTTTCTTTTGTTAACACCCTTCTATCTTCTTGCAATTATTGTTTATATGGCATTTAATGCTTCTCGCATTCCTTTGGTAGCTGCTATAAAATTTCTTGTGGATTTGAGAATACTGCTATCAACACTGTGTCATCAGCGTATCTTATATTGTTAATAATGTGGCCAGTAATAATGAATCCTTTTAGGATTTCTAATTCCCTCAGAATCTCCTCACCATATAGGTTGTATAAGTCTGGTGAGGAGGCATATCCTTGTTTTACACAACTTTCAATTCAGTGTCAGTTAAGTGCCATACGTGATACACACTCGGGCAATCATGTCTCTTTCAATCCATGACTGACAAGGCAGAAGATTTTTCATGTAGCAATAAAAGGGAAGAAACTTAGGCTACATAGAAGGTAGGCTCAGAGTAAAGAAGCTTCCGTCGTCAGATATAAACAAAGACAAAAATACAGTATCTAAACCTTTGTACCAGGTATTTTGTGGTAAGTGGTTTTTATCGACATTTTGGGGTAGCTTTGTACAAAAAAGAATGAAAACCATTTATTTGCTATAAAATATGTCCAGGATGATGCCCAGTAGGCAATATTTGACTACAATAGGAATACTGATAACGCTCAAAAACTGGGGTCACATTATACACAAGCTATAAGAAAAAATCAAGTTTTTCACAAAAAAATTCAGGTGTAACATTACATATGAAGTCATCTTAAACACAAGTATATATGGCATGATAGATAGATAGATAGATAGATAGATATGAACAGAGATAGATAGATAGATAGATAGATAGATAGATAGATAGATAGATATGAACAGAGATAGATAGATAGATAGATAGATAGATAGATAGATAGATAGATATAAACAGAGATAGATAGATAGATGAATAGACAGATAGATATGAACAGAGATAGATAGATAGATAGATAGATAGATAGATAGATAGATAGATATAAACAGAGATAGATAGATGAATAGATAGATAGATATGAACAGAGATATAGTGAGATAGATAGATATAAAACAGAGATAGGTATGAACAGAGATAGATAGATAGATAGATAGATAGATAGATAGATAGATAGATAGATAGATAGACAGATAGATAGATAGATATGAACAGAGATAGATAGATAGATAGATAGATAGATAGATAGATAGATAGATAGATACAGTACTTCTTTTTTTGATAATACTGCTGCTAATATTTTTCTTTTTCTTCTGTTGTATGCTTTGCTGATTTTTTCTTTCATCTCAATTTGATGGACCCTGCTTTCAAAAATAGCAGTTTGTCCTTGGATGATAATATATCAAGATTTGTTACATTTGTTACTGTCACATTCATTAACTTGCCACTTCTCTGATAATGGCCGAGTTAGCTTATAGCAATGGTAAATTATTAGCTTTTTAAAGGTAAACACAAAATGAAATGTAGGGCAAAAATGAGAAAAGAAGAAAAAGTCAATAACTTACCTTGGAGGAAACGAGATGTCAAACTCAGTGATCTGATCTTTAAAAGCATTTAATTCTGTGTCAAACTGTTGCAACTGAAAGAAACAAAAATTCTTTTTTAAGAACTGAAACTTAGCTTCCTTTTTTTCCTTTACAATTTTTTTTTTTAAATCAGTACCACCCCATTGCAAGGCAGTAAAGCCATTAAGACACAAGTGGTTACAGGATGTGGAAAAATTAGGAACAGAAACATTCATAATGATGAGCGGAAAGAGGAGAGAGTAATAAGGCAGACAGTAGATAATGATTGACATTGCATTTAAATTTTTGCAGATTAAAGTTGGCTGGAAATCATGGAGCCAAAAGTGAGTTCCCCAAACAAGGCGGTAAATTCACTAAGACACAAGTGGTTACAGGGTGTGGAAGAATTAGATACAGAAACATTAATAATGAGGATGAAGAGAAAAGAGTAATCAGGAAGACAGTAGATAGTGATTGACATTGCATTTACATTTTTGCAGATGAAAAATGGCTGGAAAGCATGGAGTTAGAAGTGAGTTCCACAAGAAAGAAGTGTGAGAAAAGAAACTGTTAGCATAGAATTTATGGCTACATCTCGCCAGCTCAACTGTAAATTGATGAGATCTTGATGCCAGTCTAGTGCTACACTTAAATTCAAAAAGTCTAGGTACCATGGTGAAGAGATCATCTGAATAATTACCCTGAAAGTATTTCATAGAATAAGCATGGAGAGGCAACCTTAACACAGGGGGAAAGTGAATGAAGCTGAGATGCTAGATCAGGACCAATAATATTGCTGATTCTTCTTTGGATCGCATGAAGGAGCACAATGCAAATAGCAGAGGCACCAGACCATATGTGGCAGCAATATTTTAAACATGAACAAATGGTAGACTTATAAATATGCAAGATAGGTTCTGGAGAAAAAAATTGTCTTGCTTGACACAGTGAAATGACTTTTTTAGCAGCTGACCTAGCAATGAATTCAATATCATCTTTGCACTTCATTTCAGCTGGGAATGTGACCCAGAGAAGGTGCAATAAGTCACTTTCCTGGAGGTTAGCATCAGCCATGCTGATGGCTCTATATCAAATGTGTTTTTATATGCTCACTAATATATAAAAGTAAGTATAAAAAAAAATACTGGTCTTACAGACACATCATATTGAAACACCAGATCCTATACAATCACCAAAGTTAAGCAAAGTCAGCCCTGGTCAGTCCATAAATGGGTGACTTCTTGGGAATACCAGGTGCTGTAAGTTTGGCTGTGAAGGTGGTGTAATGGATAATGGCTCAGAATTGTTAATCTCAGAGCTGAGTTGCAATTCCTGTTGGGTTTATATTCACTTATGCTAAAATACCATGTGAAAGGCATGAATCCACCTTTTCTCTCTCTCCAGTTATGTGTTAATTAGTAAGACTTGTATCACTAAAACTTTGTTACTTCAAAGAAAAAAAAATTTAAGATTAACAAAGTTCAGCAATGTTGAGCCTGGACAGTACCTAGATGAGTGACTGCTTGGAAATAGCTGTTGGTGTACTTGATAATGGCTTAGAATTGTTAATTGGAAAACCGAGTTCCATACGCTTAAAGATATTAGTCCACCAGTTATATAATCTCAAAAAAATTCTTACAATATAAAAAAACTATTGAGATAAAATGTTATAATAAGATGGAATAAAACTAATAATAAAATAATAGTAATAATGAAGAGTGTATAGAGCCAGAGTGTCGGGATAAAAAGCAACAATAATAAGATGGAATAAAACTAGTAATAAAATAATAGTCATAATGAATGAAGAGCCAGAGTGTGTAATAAGATGGAATAAAACTAGTAATAAAATAATAGCCAATGAAGAGTGTTAGGGATATAAAAAGCAACAATAATAAGATGGAATAAAACTAGTAATAAAATAATAGTAATAATGAAGAGTGTATAGAGCCAGAGTGTTGGGATAAAAAAGCAACAATAATAAGATGGAATAAAACTAGTAATAAAATAATAGTAATAATGAAGAGTGTATAGAGCCAGAGTGTTGGGATAAAAAGCAACAATAATAAGATGGAATAAAACTAGTAATAAAATAATAGTAATAATGAAGAAATGTATAGAGCCAGAGTGTTGGGATAAAAAGCAACAATAATAAGATGGAATAAAACTAGTAATAAAATAATAGTAATAATGAAGAGTGTATAGAGCCAGAGTGTTGGGATAAAAAGCAACAATAATAAGATGGAATAAAACTAGTAATAAAATAATAGTAATAATGAAGAGTGTATAGAGCCAGAGTGTTGGGATAAAAAAAGCAACAATAATAAGATGGAATAAAACTAGTAATAAAAAATAATAGTAATAATGAAGAGTGTATAGAGCCAGAGTGTTGGGATAAAAAAGCAACAATAATAAGATGGAATAAAACTAGTAATAAAATAATAGTAATAATGAAGAGTGTATAGAGCCAGAGTGTTGGGATAAAAAAATAACAATAATAAGATGGAATAAAACTAGTAATAAAATAATAGTAATAATGAAGAGTGTATAGAGCCAGAGTGTTGGGATAAAAAATCAACAATAATAAGATGGAATAAAACTAGTAATAAAATAATAGTAATAATGAAGAGTGTATAGAGCCAGAGTGTTGGGATAAAAAGCAACAATAATAAGATGGAATAAAACTAGTAATAAAATAATAGTAATAATGAAGAGTGTATAGAGCCAGAGTGTTGGGATAAAAAGCAACAATAATAAGATGGAATAAAACTAGTAATAAAATAATAGTAATAATGAAGAGTGTATAGAGCCAGAGTGTTGGGATAAAAAGCAACAATAATAAGATGGAATAAAAAAAATAATAAAATAATAGTAATAATGAAGAGTGTATAGAGCCAGACTGTTGGGATAAAAAGCAACAATAATAAGATGGAATAAAACTAGTAATAAAAATAATAGTAATAATGAAGAGTGTATAGAGCCAGAGTGTTGGGATAAAAAAGCAACAATAATAAGATGGAATAAAACTAGTAATAAAATAATAGTAATAATGAAGAGTGTATAGAGCCAGAGTGTTGGGATAAAAAAGCAACAATAATAAGATGGAATAAAACTAGTAATAAAATAATAGTAATAATGAAGAGTGTATAGAGCCAGAGTGTTGATAAAAAGCAACAATAATAAGATGGAATAAAACTAGTAATAAAATAATAGTAATAATGAAGAGTGTATAGAGCCAGAGTGTTGGGATAAAAAAGCAACAATAATAAGATGGAATAAAACTAGTAATAAAATAATAGTAATAATGAAGAGTGTATAGAGCCAGAGTGTTGGGATAAAAAGCAACAATAATAAGATGGAATAAAACTAGTAATAAAATAATAGTAATAATGAAGAGTGTATAGAGCCAGAGTGTTGGGATAAAAAGCAACAATAATAAGATGGAATAAAACTAGTAATAAAATAATAGTAATAATGAAGAGTGTATAGAGCCAGAGTGTTGGGATAAAAAGCAACAATAATAAGATGGAATAAAACTAGTAATAAAATAATAGTAATAATGAAGAGTGTATAGAGCCAGAGTGTTGGGATAAAAAAGCAACAATAATAAGATGGAATAAAACTAGTAATAAAATAATAGTAATAATGAAGAGTGTATAGAGCCAGAGTGTTGGGATAAAAAGCAACAATAATAAGATGGAATAAAACTAATAATAAAATAATAGTAATAATGAAGAGTGTATAGAGCCAGAGTGTTGGGATAAAAAAGCAACAATAATAAGATGGAATAAAACTAGTAATAAAATAATAGTAATAATGAAGAGTGTATAGAGCCAGAGTGTTGGGATAAAAAAGCAACAATAATAAGATGGAATAAAACTAGTAATAAAATAATAATGAAGAGTAATAATGAAGAGTAATAATAAGAGCCAGAGTGTTGGGATAAAAAGCAACAATAATAAGATGGAATAAAACTAGTAATAAAATAATAGTAATAATGAAGAGTGTATAGAGCCAGAGTGTTGGGATAAAAAGCAACAATAATAAGATGGAATAAAACTAGTAATAAAAATAATAGTAATAATGAAGAGTGTATAGAGCCAGAGTGTTGGGATAAAAAGCAACAATAATAAGATGGAATAAAACTAGTAATAAAATAATAGTAATAATGAAAGAGTGTATAGAGCCAGAGTGTTGGGATAAAAAGCAACAATAATAAGATGGAATAAAACTAATAATAAAATAATAGTAATAATGAAGAGTGTATAGAGCCAGACTGTTGGGATAAAAAGCAACAATAATAAGATGGAATAAAACTAATAATAAAATAATAGTAATAATGAAGAGTGTATAGAGCCAGAGTGTTGATAAAAAAGCAACAATAATAAGATGGAATAAAACTAGTAATAAAATAATAGTAATAATGAAGAGTGTATAGAGCCAGAGTGTTGGGATAAAAAGCAACAATAATAAGATGGAATAAAACTAGTAATAAAATAATAGTAATAATGAAGAGTGTATAGAGCCAGGGTGTTGGAATAAAAAGCAACAATAATAAGATGGAATAAAACTAGTAATAAAATAATAGTAATAATGAAGAGTGTATAGAGCCAGAGTGTTGGGATAAAAGCAACAATAATAAGATGGAATAAAACTAGTAATAAAATAATAGTAATAATGAAGAAGTGTATAGAGCCAGAGTGTTGGGATAAAAAGCAACAATAATAAGATGGAATAAAACTAGTAATAAAATAATAGTAATAATGAAGAGTGTATAGAGCCAGACTGTTGGGATAAAAAGCAACAATAATAAGATGGAATAAAAACTAGTAATAAAATAATAGTAATAATGAAGAGTGTATAGAGCCAGAGTGTTGGGATAAAAAGCAACAATAATAAGATGGAATAAAACTAGTAATAAAATAATAGTAATAATGAAGAGTGTATAGAGCCAGAGTGTTGGGATAAAAAGCAACAATAATAAGATGGAATAAAACTAGTAATAAAATAATAGTAATAATGAAGAGTGTATAGAGCCAGAGTGTTGGGATAAAAAGCAACAATAATAAGATGGAAT